TACCCCAGAGCCCCGCCTGTAACCCAAACCCTTCATCCCCTGGCCCCGTCCCAGAGCCTGCATCCCCAGCCCAGAGCCTGTGCCCCCTCCTGCACCCCATTCCCCTGACCAGCCCTGACCCCCCAAACCTGGAGCCCCCTCCTACACCCCAAACTCCTCATCCCCAGCCTCACCCTAGAGCCTGCACCCCAAGATGGAGCCCTCACCCCCCTGCACTCCAACCCCTTGCCCCAGCCCAGAGCCCCCCCCCGCACACCCTGAACCCCTCTGCCCCAGCCCCCAGCCCCCTCCTGCACCCCAAACCCCTCATCTCCAGCCCCACCCCAGAACCTGCAACCCCAGCCGGAGCCCTCACTCCCTCCCGCATCCCAACCCCCTGGCCTCTGCCCCAGCCCAGTGAAAGTGAGTCACCGTGGGGAGAGCAAGCCACAGAGTGAGGGGGAATGTAGTGAACGGGGCAGGGCCTCGGGAAAGGAGCTGGGCTAGGGTGTTCAGTTTTGTGCGATTAGAAAGTTGGCCACCCTAGGTGCAGAGCAGAGCTGAGACCAGCTGAGGGCCCGCTGCATAGGAGTGGCTTGTCAGACCCATTTCCTTGTAGGCTCAGAGCAGTCACTGATTCGTGGGCCGGAGCACCGTAGGACTGACCTGGGGGGACTAAGTTCACTGGTGCAGTTGCTGCGTCAGTGTTTGTCATCTGCTCTGACACTGCAATAGGAGACAATACGGAGCTTGGAGCAACTGAAATCGCCTTCGGGGTGTGGGGGTGAATGCAGGCACTTTTATGTGGGATAAGAGGGAAGGTCCTCTCCTCAACCAGTAACTGGTTGGCCAGAAGCTGGGAATGGACAACAGAAGATGGATCTCTGATGGCCTGTTCTGTTCATTCCCTCTGGGGCACCTGGCATTGGCCACTGTTGGAAGACAGGATATTGGGCTAGAACAGGGGTGGGCAAACTACGGCCCAGGGTCTGCATCCGGCCCTTCAGACATTTTAATCTGGCCCTCAAACTCCTGCCAGAGAGCGGGGTCCCGGGCTTGCCCCGCTCCCCCTATGCCGTAGCTCCACACGGCTCCCGGAAGCAGCAGCATGTCCCCCCTAAAGCTCCTACGCGTAGGGGCAGTCAGGGGGATCTGCACACTGCCCCCACCCCAAGCACCACCCCCGCAGCTCCCGTTGGCCGCCCTCTGAACCCCTCGGTCCCACCCTCCTGCACCCCAGAGCCCACCCCAGCTGGAGCCCTTACCCCCTCCTGCACCCCAACCCTCAATTTCATGAACATTCATGGCCCACCATACAATGTCCATACCCAGCTGTGGCCCTTGGGCTAAAAAGTTTGCCCACCCCTGGGCTCGATGGACCATTGCTCTGACTCAGTATGGCTGTTCTTGTGGGTGTGTGTTGTGTAGTTTGTTAGGCACGATAGGGGGATGCCACAGTATTGGCAACACCAGAACGAGCGAGTGCAGAAGAGGAGCAAAGGAGCCAGTTCACTCTCCACGCTGTCCTCGGCCTGCCTGCGGACTGAAGATAGTTATCAATAGTGGTTGTCAGATGAACACTGGGAGTCAGACAGAAACCCTCTGAACCAGCCCGTCTCCCATGGAGATAAGATCGAATCGTCACTCAACGACACCATTTAAATCATGAGCAAAAGCCAAAGGCTGGAGTGAGGAGAATGGTTTAAAAAAGCCACTGTGGCTGAGTCACCACCAGACAGACCCCAACTCCCCAGGCTCTCAGTCATGGCCAGGCTGCTTCTCACATCACCATGCAGTGCCGCATATTACACACTGAAATAGGTCACGGTGGTGAGGGTTAAACCAAACAAGTTTATAGTTACAGAGCTGGGCTCGTGGATACCTGGCTTCCCTCTTCCCCAAAGCACAGACAAACTGACTGCTCCACAGCCCCGTAACACTGCCAGCTGGAGTGCAAGCACTCTGCCCTCTGCCTAAATCCAGTCTGCTCTAGAGCCCGTCGGTCGCTGCTTGATGAACAGGGCTCTTCTTCAACCAGCGGGGGGGGGGTGTGTGTATCTGTGTGTGTCTCTGCATGGCTCTGGTCCATCCTCAGGGTAGGGGGCTCTGTCCTCCGGGCAAGAGCCGACTGGGAGGGTGGCTTTTGCCCCTGCAAAGCTGCCTTTGGGCATGGAAAGACGGGGGCACAGGAAGTCCCTTAACTACAGGATTTGGGGTGGAGGTTCTGGGGACAGGTTACAGGGCCCTATGTTGCCGATGTTGCCCTGTACAACAATTGCAGGTACTACGCTTACCTGCTGGGGGAGCTCTTTGGCTCCTTTGCCAATTGACAGCTCCAGAGAGGTCAGCTGACTTCAGTGTTGGGAGGAAAGGATGGGGGGTGCTCTTGACTCACAGGCTCTCTTCCTGATTGTCACTCAAGCAGGGAAACCCAACCACCCATGCAGAGATGTACATGGAGCACTGCCACCTCCTGGCATCACTTTCCAGCAACCTCACCCCCCTATAAGCAGCAGAGGAGGTGCCTGGATCTCCACCTCTGTGGAGGAGATGGGGCTGGGCACAGAAGGGTAGCTGTATCTGTAGAGCGTGCCTGAGTCAAGGTTTGTCTCTATGGGACTTGCACACACCTACCTCCCCCCTGGAACATCTTGGGAAGTTACCCAGAAAGCTCCAGAGAGTCCTGGCTCTAAACAGCACTGAGATACAGCACTGCAACAGCAGGATAGGCTCAAATGATCTCGTTGCAATACATTAATCTCTCGTTAAACTCATCTACCCAGAAGAGTACAAAATTTCTGCAGCTTGCAATTCCCACTTGTATCTTAGCTGTATTCCTCGTCACATGGTTTTAACTTACTGTAATTTAGTAATAATTATCCATGTTTCTGTCTGTAGATTATTAAAGAAGATTTTTTTTTAAATCCTGTTAACTTCATTATCATTACCCGCATTTTAGAAATGGGAAAACTGAGCCTCAAATACATTGAGTGACATATCCAAGGTAACATAGCAGCATCAGAACTCAAATCTAAGATTCCCGATTCCAAAACTCAGTCAAAGCCACCTGACTTGCTAGACACATTGTTTAGGGCTGTCTGATCCAGCAAGGTGCTGAGTAGGGCTGGCTGGAAAACAAGAATTCCATTTTGTGAAAACTTCAAGGTTTTGGAATTTGTTTTTGTTCTGCATTGGAACAAAACCGAGATCTTTTGAAATTCTTCACAAAAAGAAAAAAGAAAACGGGGAGACACCCACCCAAAATAACCTGTGGTTAAAGTATTCATCAAGTCTCCACTCCACCTGAGTCTCAGTGGCCCAACACATATTTCCCAAGTCCTTGCTCTCAATCAAGCAGAGCATAGCCTTGAACCTAGGTCGCCCACATACCAACTGAGTGATCTAACCACTGGGCTACTGATGATTCTGAGATGGGTCTCTCTCATACGTATCAGAGTAACAGCCGTGTTAGTCTGTATTCGCAAAAAGAAAAGGAGTACTTGTGGCACCTTAGAGACTAACCAATTTATTTGAGCATAAGCTTTCGTGAGCTACAGCTCACTTCATCGGACGCATACCGTGGAAAGTGTAGAAGATCTTTTTATACACACAAAGCATGAAAAAATGGGTGTTTACCACTACAAAAGGTTTTCTCTCCCCCCACCCCACTCTCCTGCTGGTAATAGCTTATCTAAAGTGATCACTCTCCTTACAATGTGTATGATAATCAAGTTGGGCCATTTCCTGCACAAATCCAGGTCCCCGGTCCCCCCCCCCCCCCCCCGCCCACACATCTCATACGTATTTTGACCATAAATTCCATCCTGGACCACTAAAACCAAAACATTTCAGTTTTGGCAAATAGGCATTTCCTACAAAAAGCATTTTGTCGAGAAATTCCCAACCAGCTCTCATGCAGAGCGCCCTCCGGTCCACTCCTCACTGGAATTGCTCAGCACCTTGCAGAACAGGGCCCTGAACTTTTCTGAGCCTCGGTTTGGTAAGCCAGAAGTGGAGGTGTTTCCCTACTATGTGTCAGAGGCAGTGCTAAATCATAAGAATGCTCATCATTTGCATTGATATGCACACCCTCAACAGGCCAATCTGCATGAACAGAGCTGGATGAACCCTACAAAGTGCAAGACCATTCGTTTGAATAAAAGACACAAACTTGCCATAATGCTATTTGTGACGCTTTCATTCGGTGTTTGAGGACATTCATAAAAGTGAATTTTTGTTTGGAGAAAGAGAAAGTGCCTTAAATTTGAGGATCTAAAAGCACATTACAGTTATGAATGAGTGAAACCTCAAGCAGGGAAGCAAAATCGCTGTTTTATCAATGAGGAAACGGAGGCAGAGAAGTTAAGTGACCTGCCAAAGGTCATCCAGGCAGTCAGCGTCACAGACAATTCAAAAACCTATACCATAATTCTTAGTCCTCTGCTGTAGACAAAATATTGATGCTAAATTGTTGGTTACATACTAAATAAACATTTAACGATCTACTAGCTCTCTTAGGAGTCACGTCCTTTTGGGGTTTCTGTAAAGTGTCATGCAAACCTGGGGAACAATAGAAGAAATGCGAAATAATCACAAATCATTTGAAAAGATGATAGCCTTATATTTCAAGTGAATCATTCCTAACACAAAACCAGTGGGGGGGATGGACAAACCAAGCTCCCAAACAAACCAAATACACCATGTGAAACATATATACACCTTTTGAAAATATAAATAAATGCTACGTTAGTTTCTTCCCTTTTAAATCTAATTGATATCTAATTGATTGGAAGTGGGGGGGCGGAGGGAGGACTGTTGCCTGAAAACCAAGAACTAGGAGGTGGTGTTTAATCAACTCCACATACTACCAAGGAGAAATATTAACCATTCTGTCCATGGACAACATTAAAAAGGTTGTTGCCACTGCAGTGCAGAGCTGGGAGGATGCGGAACAGCCAATGTGGTAAATCTCAGCAGGTTTCCAAAAGAATCCAAGAATACAATTTAAATTCAGTCCTTACCTGACAGGATGGCAAATTGCCTGTGGAGCTGCTCAATTATATCCACTGCGACCAGCGGCCTTATCTCCTGCTGCATGATTTCATCTGTACAAGTGAAAAGAGAAACCCTCACTGAGTTAACCAGACCCTTCACCCTCTGTTAGAACCCAGCAAGACAAAGGATATACTCAGAGGTTAAGAGCCTGGCATAATCGTTGGCTCAAATGTTATCATATGACTCTTCACAGTGGAGAAGCTTATGATACAGAAAGTCCCATCTCCAGCCCAGTTACTTTATCTATTGTCCTGTGTTTGCAGAGCGCGCGTTTCATAAAGTGATTCCAATAGATTTAGCAGAGCTTGTCACAAGTTTGCTCAAGACGACGGGCCTCTCTTCGCAACTTCATGTTTCATATTAAGCCACTGCATCTGGGCTCCCAGATAAAGCAGCATTTCAGTCCTTTGAAACAGTGATGGCTATTTTAGATACAGTACCATGTTCCACCCCCCACCCCCCTTTCCTTTGCACGCCACAGAAGGGCTTTTTGAGTAACTGACCAGCCCCCTTCCCCCCACCCCGCTTCCTTTGCTGATGTTTTTTTCGCAACAAGAAAATACATTGCCCAAGGAGGAAATAAGGAACTATGGGGCTTTCTTCTCACCAAAACAAAGCCTGCTCTTTTGAAGTAAAGATTTAAAAGTAGCTAAAGATAGCAAGGGGCAGGGTGCGTCAATCTGCGGATTCTAACTGGATGCATTTAGTGGTCAGGAACCACAATCTTACACTGAATGAGTTAGACTCTTTCCTCTCCAGAATGTGGGGCCTCACGGGCTTATTTCAGCTTGGCTCTGAAACGGTTCATTTACAGGGGGATAGATCGGCGTTTCTTAATGTTTGCCAGCCAGGTCCATTTGTACTAGGTGCTGTACAAACATATAGTAGGAGACAGTCCCGGCCCTGCAGAGTGTACAAGATAAATAGACAGAACAAAGGATGAAGAAAGGAAGCACAATATCCCCATTTTACAGATGGGGAATTGAGGTCCAGAGAGACTAAGTGACTCGCTCAAAATCACTTAGGGCCTGCATGGCAGAGCTCTGAAATAAGCCTATTTCTCCGATGTCTCAATCCACTGCTTTAACCACAAGTCCATCTTTCCTCTCAATATACAGGCATTAGAATGTCAGAACTTCAAGTGCCACCTATAATCTGGGGCGAACTTGCCAATAGGGTCAGAGGGACCCATCTCAGCAGCTTTCCAAAAACGCTGGGATTACGGTGCTGGTCTTTAAACTGAGCAACATCAACTGGTAAAACATCCTGACTCCCCTCATTCTCTACAAATATACGGCTCTGGCCTGGTTTCAGCAAATCAGTTTGAGCCCAGTGAATCCTGCCAAAGCTTTAAGACAGGCTAACCAGAGGGTGCTAGGGTCATTGCCCTCTTACAGAAAGATGAGTAAATATATGCAGAGAATGCGGAGTAGCTTCTGCTCCAGGCATCAAATGTAAAGGAAAAAAAAATCCATGCAACAGAACAGTCTCTCTCTAGGGACACGAGCCTGCACACCCTCACCCACAGGAGCCAGGGTCTGGGCCTCCACAGAGTCGCATAAATTAGCCAAGGGGGCTAGGATGTTAAATTAACCCCCCACTCAAGATCTCCAATTGGCACAATCATTTACAATGGCTGCTGAGTGCTGCTTACCCTCATTTCTGTAGTTACTTAGGTATTCTTCTCACTGACAGAGCAAAGAGTTAGAAAAGTACCAGGATTCAGTCCTTCTGGCTGCAGGCAGACAGGAGGGTTACTATGATGATGCATCTCTCCTTAAAAATTACTTCCCAGAACAGTGTTTTGGGATAGATCCCATCATCATGGAAACACGCCAACTCACGTGAAGCCTGATTCTCTGGAGCAGCGCTGGTAGCCAAATGGCGAGATGGAAGAAGAGGCTGCCTCCATGGACAGAAGCTTAGCACAGTGCCAGGGCTGACCTGGCAGATAAAGCTCATTTAACACTGCAGAGAATAAAGATTTGGTGCAACTTTTTTGAAATCTGATTAATTCCTAGGGAATGGAAACAGAGGTCACTCTCCTTTTCCCCCCGCACCCTGGGCCCCTCTTCCCCCTTTCCTCCCATTCTTTTCCTTTTTTGGTTCTTTCAGTCTTTTTTCCAAAAACAAGGGGAGATCAATATAATATAAATTAAAGAAAAGTCGGGGGTGGGGGTCTTCTCAGAACAGCCGGGGTCACACTAGCAAGGGAGCAGAAAGTCAATCACAGGGAGAGGAGGGCTGGTGCAGGGAGGAAAACAATCAGTGTTTCCAAAAGGTGGTAGGATTGATATTAGCTGCCCTGTATTTATTCAAAGAACACAGCCTGGGCAGTGGCAATCTAAGCTTCCACACCAGGGAACCCTGCTAGTGGGCCACAACTCTACCAAGCAGGGATACCTTGAGAGTGGAGATCAGCCTCTCTGACTGGTCAGTGAATAGCCCCTCTGCTGAGGCTGGTAACAGAGTTGCAAAGACCCACTGGACTTCAAAAGGCGCAGGATGGGATCCTCCGACCTTGCAACGTCCTCCCAGGGCCCAGCGTAAGGGACAGATGCTATGTGGAATAACATGAAACTGAACTGTAGTGCTTATATAACTGGGCATGTGAGCCAGCAAGGGCACACACACACAGCTCTGCCAACTCTTGCTGCTGCAGTCTGATAGTTTCACAGGCCACATTTAGCCCTGGTGTAAGTGGGCACAACTCATGGCAGCCAATGGGTGTCTCACTCGCTGATGCCGAAGTTTACTTTGGCCCCCATTAGTCCAAACCATCGTGGGAGGAGCTCAGCTTTATGAAATACTTCCCTTCAGATTTAGCAGCCACACCAGCTGTTAGACAAGATCATTATAGCTTGCAGGCATTGCCAGCTGGCTTTCCAGTTAACCTTAGCAAACAGGGCTCATCAGAATGTCGGTGACACAGGGGAGAGGTGTAAGGGTAGGAGAGAAGAGGGGACAAGTAAGAATTTACCAAAAAATGTATCAACATAATCATTAAAACATTGAGTACAAACCACGGTTTTAATCGATTTTGAAAAGTACGACAAACTAGCTCTTTGGGGCAGGGACTGTCCTTCAGTTCTGTGTTTTCACAACGCTAGTACAAGGGGCCAGGGACTAGAACTGGGGCCCCTAGACTCGGCCATAATACAATTAATATATAACAATTTTTGGAAAAACCTTCCCCCCCACCCTCCTCCATCCTTGGTCTTGAGGCTCCGCGTCCCGGCGGGATTTAAACCAAAGAAATCAATACATCTGGCGTGAACGACAGCAGCTGAGGCCATGCATTATTGATGGATGTATTTCCATTTTGTTTACACAACCAGTTAGCAAGGTTATCAACCCCTGCCACCGCTCTGGCCCTTGGCACTGTGGATGGCTGGAAGAAATCGGGAGATGATGCTAATGAATGGCTGTGGAACCAGCATCCACCAACAGAGTGGCTGGTTTGAGTGGGGCTCATGGGGCAGGTGAGGGGAGCGGTTTCATCTACTGCCTAGAGGCCTCACTCAAGATCAGGGCTGCAAACACATTATAAGACACAGTCCCTGTCCCAAAGATCTTACAATCTACACAGGCAAGAGAGACAGAGGGTAGGAAGGAAAACAGAGGGGTGAGGTGTCTTGCTCAAGGTCACACAGCTGGGAAGAGAACCCAGGTCTCTTCCTCCATCAGCTGGCAGGATCTTGCCTTTAGGATGCCGACTGAGGCACGCTGCACCATTGAATCACCACTGTGACCTGAGGCTGGCGTGATTCTGTGCCTCACATCCCCAGCTGGTATCACAGCAAAGCAGTTTGTGGCTTTTCTTAAGCCTGGAGTCTAGTCATAGGGATAGCGCTGTGGAAGCCAGGACCGTCCTACTCAATTGGGGACGGGTGGGAACCGCCCTGGTACTGACGACAACCAGCTAAATTGGCACAGCCTCTGTGAGCAGAGACAGCAACGCAGGTTGACTCCACTGTATAACAGACGTGTTCACAGTTTGGCACCAGCTTATTTGGATTCATCCCCCGCCCCCCATACAGACAGCAAACACAGCCTTTGATCAAACTCACCCATTAGCTTTGTAGGGCACAGAGCAGCAGGGTTTACTTTCTCTCAATGACTACAAAGGGTGCTGCCCTGAACAGCCAAGCTAGACTCTCTCTTCTATCGAAACATGCCTCCCACATGGTTTGGGGTTTAAGACACTTTATAGCCCTGGCTCCAGAATGCCTTGTCACTGTCCAGTGAAAGGAAATTTCTCCCGCTCAACATTGCTGGAAAGCCTAGCCTGAGAGCCTCATTGTGAACTCCAGCTGAGATCTACCCAGTGTAGGAACCCAAGGAGCGGGGCCAGTCTCACCTGACATAAATTAGAGCTGACTGAGAACACGCTGACTGATGCTTGGCTGCCACGGCCCCACAGTAGACATTCCAGCAGCTGAATACACCCCAAGTGCAGCAATGCTCTGCACATGCTGTCTGCCCCCCCACCTCTCCCCTCGGCCATAGTGCCTGAGCCGGGGCTACCATGGAGGGTGGTAGAGACTCATTAAACCAATACTGCACACCCTGGAGAATCCCTCCGCACTACCCATAGGGTGGCCAACTTTCTAATCTCACAAAACTGAACACCCTTGCCCCACCCCCTTCCCCGAGGCTCCATCCCTTCCCCTCACTCACTTGCTCATTTTCACCAGTAAAAGTAGAGTAACCAGTACAGTAACTGAGGCAGGGGGTTGGGAGGGAGTCAGGGCTCTGGGCTGGGGGGCTGGGCTCCAGGGTGGGGGCCAGAGATGAGGAGTTCACGGTGCAGGAGTGGGCTCCGAGCTGGGGCCAAGGGGTTTGGAGTGCGGGAGGGGGTTACGAGTTGGGGTGTGGGCTCCGGGAGGGAGTTTGTGTGCGGGAGGGCGCTCAGGGCTGAGATAGGGGGTTGGGGTGAAAAAGGGGGAGCGGGGTGCAGTCTCCAAGAGGCAGTTTGGGTGCTGGCTCTGGGAGACACTTACCTCAGGCGGCTCCCTGGATGCAGTGACATGTCCCTCAGCTCTGAGGC